ACACAAATGCACACTGTTTGCCAACATCTGTCAATATTGAATGCCAGTTATTGTTCCCTGTGCAAGCAATGACGTAATCACTTATGTTGCAATACTCGACTGACAGGTGTGTGAGTGTGTGTGCACTATTGTATCACCTTCCATCACACTANATTTTCACCCGGTTCCCATACGCTATAATCGCTCCTTGGATGTAAATTTCCCATTGAGGATGGGGCCTGAGTGAGCAGAGTTTCGTACTCATTGTGAAGATATACTGTTTGAATTTTGTGGAGGGGGTTGCCAAGAGAAATTGCTGTTGTTATCTCGAAAAATAAGGTCCTGTTTAGCTATTTTATATTTTGGTCCACGAGTTCCAACTCAGTCTGTGACCGAGAAACTGCGGACAATTCTTCGAACAAAGCAGATCACACTGACATGTAACAATGTCATACTCGGACCAAAAGGCCGACCGAGGTAATTCATGTTAGGTTCCCAGATTTCCCAGGGCCAGAGGAAGAACAAAAACCGTCTGACTGTCAGACCCGTGTATGTTCGGAGGAATGCGTCAAGCACTAAACCACATAACAAGGACGACACTCATAACATCATAAGAGTTCAAGGTCAATGACACTGTCCGCTCACCAGCTGACCATTGGCACCCCTAACCGGGTTATCAAATTTTACTCAGTTAACTAAAAAGATTACGAATATTGATTTGACTATCATTCTGATTTCACCTTCACGCACAATCCTCAGGCTTCCATCTAGTTTCGCTCTTAGTTGAGCTCGTCAGTATTCCACATACACAAATCACAAGTAACTGTGAGTCAAACGCGAAGATCAATCAAACCTGGTAGGTATGTGGTAAATCAACCCGTAACCTGCATGAAAATCCTGACTTGGTGGGAGGCTTTCGATTTCAGTTAACAGGTTTCAATCTGTCTCTCTTCGTTGCTGTCGGGCCAAATGAACTGACTGGCTATCACTGAAGACAACATTGAACAAACAAGAATTGACAATCTGGTTCAGCCATGGCTTGAACTGATTGACACAGTGGTACCACACACGCCTTCCATGCGATGGGTCCGGAGTTCAAATCCCGGACGGGGTGATGTATATGCACTGCTGAAGAGCTCTAATAAGAACGAAACTCGAGTCTAGTGCTTCCGAGTGTATGATTGAATCGATAAAAACCTGAGGATTGTGCGTAAAATGTGAAGTCCAAATGATAGTCAGTCAAATCAATCAATATCAATTATCCCACACACTAGTCACAAGTAACTGTGAGTCAAATGCGAAGAGTCTTTTGAATAACTGGGTCGTTCTGCAATACGATGGTAGATTACGTCAAACCGGCAGACAGAAGAATGTGAATAATTCCCTTTTTCTGTGCACAATTCCGGGTAGAGAATTCAGATAGCCACTGCTTCGGTCGCACAGAACGTAATTTATTTTTACTTGGATAGCAAAAATTTATTGCGGTCCTGTAAATGGCTTGAAATTACCGTATGAAATTTATCGAATGCGTTGTGTTGACCAAAGAGTTCACATTGGAACTGCAAGTGACTTTCAGTCATTCTTTCCTCACTCAGGACAGATCCAGCAAACCAGTTACCAACCAGCTCCTCTGAAGCGGATAAGTTAATTAATGCGCCAACATTAAAATGGCTCGTAGCGTCATACGATCTAGTGACCGGATAAGATGATTAAACTATTCAGAACTCGTCAACTTGAAATATAGAATGTACTGCAGTTGAGAGACTTTTTTAAGTTCACTGAGGCTGTCGTTGGTAAATGAAGGGGTGATAAACAATTACTCTTTTGTGGTTTCGTTTTCAATTACGTAACTGACTCCATGGACTAAGATTACGACCTGGCAATCTTCTCCTAATCGAGTCTTCTTTTAAAACCAAAGTTTTTCCTTCCTTTTATTTTGTAATAATGCAGAAAATTGAGAATAAATAATCGACAATAATGATCTTTTCAAGGCACCAAAAATGGCAACTGATGACAAACAAGTGTTTCTTTCAATTGTGTACTAGTACTACCGCTTTTATTTAGTCAGTAGTTAAGACAAGAAAGTAGAAATTTTATCATACAAGTGCTACGCTTACCGGTTGATAAGCCAGATCGAGCTGTAGCAAAGGTGTCAGTTGTTTGTGGGGTACTATCACGTTCTCCAGTTGATGGCATCATGCTATTTGTGGATCGATATGCCGGATGGAGATGGGGTGGTGGAAAATCATCGCTGGAACGATGATCGACCGAACCAAAACCAGTCCCAGAACCACTACTGTTTGGATCACACGGTAGTTCACAGTCGGCTGAATGCATATTGGGCACAGTGCCGGCTCCCGTGTCATAGGCTGATGTCCACGAAGTGTCCATCCCGTCTGTTTTACACGAGAACGTTCCCGTGTCGGATGTCGCATACGATCCCATACGATGATGATATCGTGCTGTGGAGGTCGAATGTCCGGCCGCATTCTCCGTTTTATGTACCCCACCGGTTTGGTCCTTGGTTTTCGCCTCGTCGGAATTCATAAATGTATCCATACCCCGATCTCCCACACCACGGGAACCATTTTGACAGTGTGAATAGATAGCCGACCCTGGTTGTGTCGAGCTGGACGCCCCGGAAGAAACGAGGCCAGCTGCGACTGGATGGATCGCGGCGGCCGCAACCAAACTAGCTGGCCAGAATCGATTGTTTGAAGGCCTATGAGTTAAATAAAACGACAGTGTGGAAAAGCTTACAGTGTCCAATTATTCATCTTGTGGACAAATGATAAATAATTCACACAGTGGACAACGGAGAAGTTCTGAAAAACCGAACATGTGCTCAATTTCAAGTTTTGGTGTTTTATTTATCTAGGAGAAACTGACGCCGAACAATGTATCAGTAAAGTACGCGTCACTGTATTACGCTCTACAATGATGCTGATGAAGATGAACGTATCCAATGCAGATAAGGGGTAGGGGAGAGAATAAAGAGAGAATACAATTTTCTATATTTGCAAAACAGGTCCAGAATCGTGAACTTTTTCTCACTTACCGGCTAGTTGCGGCTTTCTTTTTCTTATTTATGATCGGTGTTTCCGCCCCGCCCAGACTATCACTACCATTTTCCGCGGAATTTCCGTCCACACCTCCACCGGAATTGCCTCCACTGTGCCCGTTTCCACCGCACGTGTTCCCACCGAGTGGGACAAAGTTTGATGCGTCCAGCATCGGTTGAAGAATACGACGTCTGGCATTGATAAACCAATTGTTTACCTGAAGCAATGTCAAATTGGTTTGGCTCGCGATTTGTCGTTTCTCGTCCTCTGTCGGATAGGGGTGCTGTAAAACGGGCAGTGAAATAGGAATTATACAGGACTGGTGGAATCACAATAGGCTCTCGTGAGGGACGACCAAGTAGAGCAAGTGATGTACAGGTCTAATCGAAACTGAAGCAACGGGTCACTGTGAAACACTTGTGAGCTTGTATAGGCAATAGTATTTTTACAGAAGCAAATTTTTCCCCAAATAATAATAAACAGGCCTTGGTAGGTGTTTATAACAGTGATTTTCGTGATTCGTTTATACTCGATAGATGGAATGGTTCAGAATGAAGTGGATACTGCCATTTTGTCTGTAGTGATTGACCTACACTAACTAAAGAGAATAAGATAATTTTATTTAAAGCAAATTAACATTAATAATAATTAAGATGTAAAGTTTATGTACACAAATAATCGACTGGTCTTCTTTTGAACTTTACGACATTTTCGAGTCTCTTCGGCATCGAATCCACCAACTTTCTTATGAAGTACTTTCTATTTTGTGCTCCTTCACGTATCACATTGTTGCCTCATAGCAAATAGCCGAGATGGCATGGGTTTATGAAAATAATTTGGGATAATTCTTTAGTCATTCCCATTAGAATATATTGCGTTTTCATACTTGATGAAGTTTGCGATTTTCATATTGAGATTATTTATTTATTTATTTAATCTTTGCAACCAAGGTCAGGCAAGTTTAATTGACAACCATGCAGCCTAGAAACTACGTAGATCGAAGTAGACAAGAGATAATTTATTGTCCATACCTAAAGCATATGAGTGCTAAATAATAAAACTCAGTTTGATCAGAAAGAAAATATTTTAGTCTATCGCAATCGGCCAGTACTGTATATACCGAATTTCTAGGTTACACTCCCACTATTAAGTGAGATTCATTTGTACAACATATCCCAGTACCATACGCGTGCATTATTCAAGAACTGTATGCTAGTTTAAATATGTACGTAGCGAGGAATGGCACACGTGTGAACAAGTCTCAGCACCCACCCGTGTCACGTGATCTCTTGACAAGACAGTTGATCGTTTGATACATTGTCTCCCTTGCTTCGGTCACAACCCGTTTTGGAGCACATGACTATTAGTGGGTTGGGCTCATTGCTTGAACTCGTAGTTTTCGGATAGACCCGCAGTCGGAAAGACTCTCATCGAGTCGTACGAATTTGTACGTTAGGAAAAAATGTTTGATGGAAAATTTAACACAAAGTCATTATTCTCATCCGTTTACAATCGGCTGTCTTGACAAGACCAGTAAAAGAATTATAAGTTTCCGTTAAGATGTGAATTATTTCAAAATTTTCATACGCAATTCAACCCACNCACACACACACACACACACACACACACACGCACACACACGATCGTCAACCGTATATTGAGGGATGACTAGACTTAACTTGCGCTCTTATTCGCACATATTCGGTGAGCGATCCAATCGCCCATCTTGTATATGGACTCTGGACTCCTCGTGTGGAAAGACTGTCTTATTTATGTACTAATCAGCTCACACCGGAACTGAACATAGTTCCTGTTTCAAGTTCGTTCTTATGCCTACTTCAGTGATGATCAACTGGTTGATCTGGGTCGATAGCAAAGCAAGGAAACAGTCGTATTTTGTTGTTGTTGTTGTTGTGGTGGTGGTGGTG